ACAATCATTTATTATCTTTTCACCATAAATATAAACATGACGAACTGAATTTAGATTCGTTTCTTGATGAGTTGAACAAGTATTTTCATTCATTTTGCCAACTAATCTATAATCTTTTCCCCTTTAAGAAAAACCAAACTATTGTCGATGCCAGAAGTAAAAGTATTTTTTGAATAATTCTTGATAGAAGTGAATGAGCGATGTTTGAGGTATAGAATCTCAGAGAAACGTCACGAATCAACTATTGAACAATTAAAAGTGTGTTTCACAGACATTTAGTAAGCGACTTTCAAAACGTAAGTTTAAACGAAATTGAATTAAAATAAACTCATCTGATAAAAAAAAAATTGTGCTCCCTAGCTCGTTCTGTTGAAGACCTATAAGCATTTTTTTTTCGAAAGACTCCAATTACAACTGTTTCACCGAGATTCGTATGAGAACAGATTAGCATTTGGATAATAGAACAACCTGAGTTTTCTATTATCACTGATATAAGAACCATATAGTAACTGAATGTTGACATATAAAAAGATTATTGATAGAATGATTTCAAATTGCTTTAAACAAAGAGATATTGTTCAATAGTTGACTAATGATATTTCTCTGAGATTGTATGTCTCTGACGTTACTCTTTTGAATGATGAAAATCATAAGTTACTAAACTGTTCCTATTACCTGTATGGATTTATTGAATAGAAAACTCCAGTTCGATTACCATAAATCGAAGCTCGTCGATAATCAAAGAACCATTGTCGTTCAAACCAAAATTGAGAACTGAATTGATTGAATAAATGATCATATGTCTGTTGATCATTAATGAAAACTATTGAATATACAAATTGAATATCGAAAATACGCAAATATGGAAGATGATTTAATATTAATTGTTTCCATCGTTGGGCATCTAAATGTTCTTGACTAGCATCGCCAGAAATATGTAAAACCTGAATTTTATAACAAAATTGTTTGATCAAGAATTCTAATTGATCAAAACTTATATGATAGAGACCAAGAGACACATGAATTACATTCTTCAGTGAAATGTTTATATCTGTCGATATATTGTCATATCCAACAAGAGATTGACACGATAAACGACGAAGTTGAGGAACATAAGATAAAAAATGATAAAGAACATTGATTTGAACATTACATTCGATAATAAGATATTCAATAGAACTGTATTGATTAGTTGCCATCGGTATTGATTCCAATTGGTAGTTTTTACTAAATGATAATTTGCAATATTTTAATACAGGTAAACGAAAGAGTTGAAGATATAAATGATTCAGATGGTCAATCTTATCCATACAAATAATCGATAATGATGAAAGACTAGACAAAGAAGTTAAATGATTGAGAAGATTTTCGAGAGATTTTGAATCGATATTATCGAGAATAAGTGTTTCAAGTTGAACAAATTTTAGTTGAATATTTGATGATGATAAAATAGAATCGAATGCGAATGGAATCGATAAGCGTAATGATTTAATTCGATGCTTATCAGACAGAAGAATAAGTTTATAGTAATATTGAAAAGTTGATTTGGACATTAATGACAAATTGATATGAATAGGAAGAGGTGAATAAATAAGAAGATTTTCAAATCGTCGATTAAGATTTAAGAAAGCATCATATCTATGAAAAAAATCAAGAAATTCAAATATTTCATAGATAATTTCATTTGACATGTCTTCAAAACGAGTGAAAGATTTGCTTGATGATCTAAAATGAAGACGGAAAAAGTCAATTTGCTAAAAAATATATATCTATCAATATGACAAACCCATTGGTGTTACTTTGAAATTTTCTTTTTTTGCTGTCATCATCATGATCAATACTATTGTTTCGTTGACGCTTTGTTTGTTCCATATCGGATTAATTTATATATTCTACTGTTCAGTCTAACATTAATCAACAAAATTATATTGAATTTATGATTAAAGTCGACGTATGTGAATATTATTCTCTCGATATCTATGGATTCCACAGAATGAAGCAAAACTTGTGTGACTTGTATGATAAATTACAGGCCGATGGTGTAATAACACGATACATGATAATCATATATTGTATGAGTCATTAAAAAAAAGGGGAAACAGAATTCATTGGTTACACGACGACAATATTCGACCACATTTTTTGGAACAAATATTATTTAGTTCACGGATGGACGTGAACATATTTTAAATTTCAAGTGAACCATTATGTAGAAATTTTCATCATATTTTTTCATTTATTTACCATTGCAGTTGATTGATTGAATACGTTTGAATTAAGGGTTGCAAAAAAACATTAGTTGAAAAACGACGTGTACAGTTTTGTAGAGTTTGATATTCTCTATTTGTTAATGCAGGTATTACATCATTTAGTTTTATTTCATATTTTTTCTGTTCTTTTTCATTCGAACAGTTTTTCTTCCTACTTTCTCTCTATGACAAAAAAAACCAATGAAATGACTCTAGAAGTCGAAATAAAATGTAATTAGGTAGTCGAAACATTTCTACTCATCTTTGTTTTGCACATATCGTTCTATATGCAGAATGAAAAAATAACCGTGCAGACAAATCAAATGAAAGAGTGAATATCATACTATCCGTTAGACCCATGCAAAGCAGTATAACTTCTTTATTGTAAGACGAAATATCATCAAGATTATAAACAAGCAGCAGAGCCATTAAACATACAAATCGGAGAAAATTTTCTGTCATTTAAAACAAACTCCAAACAATTTAGACATCAATTGACATTGCCAGAAATCGAAGTAAAACTAATCGTGGCAAAGCGAACTTTGTAATAAAAAAAATTCGATTTTTGTTACTGTCGTTGTTATTGGAAATTTGTCTTCTGCCGTGGATTTAAGTCTTGATTCAGCCAATAATATTCACCCGAGGGTTAGCAGTAGCAGAATTCATCGCAAGTAGAATTCAAGAATTTTGCTCATTCACTATACTCTCGTAGTACGCTTTTGTGCTTCGCTATATACCATTATCTCTACTTCCAAATCAAAATTCTGCTTAGAATTCTGTTTTTACACCAGAAATTTGACAGAATTCTGCTACAAATGTTCATTTTTCAAGAAGAATTGCAATAGACCTCTATCACTTAAATTATTTTAGATTTTCAAATCTGTATTCAGATTAGAACAAAACATGTGATATAGAAACCTTAGCTACTCGTTGTTATTCAAATACATGCAAAAACCGATTCGAAAATTGTGAATACTTTTCATGAACAACAGCACAACGATCTAAACGATATTGATGTTCTTTACGCAAAACAAAATTCATCACATACTAAAACATTGTGTAGTTCTTCAAGAGAAATATTGATATTATTCGAATTGATTTTTTTCCTATAAATTCGAACAACAATCACAAATCAATGTTTCCGTGTACTGGTAACACACAGAATTCTGCCACCCTATTCAATAAAGATAATATTCAATGCACTAAAAACAAGATTTTCAATGATTATCCATGTATTTCATCCAACAACACCTACTATTATTATCGTTATCCATCCGAAAACAAGGGGTTTTTCCACGATGAAGTTCAAATTCACATTCTTGATAATATAACTATGGTAAAACAACTCGGTGTCGCAGCTATTTTAACACAATACATTCATATGGGTGATACATCAAATTTAAATTATGCTTATGAATTTTAACTTTCTATTTATTCAAAATGGATACTGATCATGAAAGTAATTTTGACTTCAAAATCGTTTCATCAAGCTAAAGTGACGTTCAAATATATGATTTTCACTGGATCGCAATATAAACGATCGGCTACCTTGGATATTTTATTATGAACCGTTGGACCACAAACTTATTATCCAGTTGATATACAACATTATCGACGAGTTTATCTAACCTAGTCAGAATGGATATTGAATAATTTTCAATTACATTCGAAATTCGAATTAACATCCATTCAAAAGAAAGTACAATCAAAAGACATATCCTTTTATAATGAACGATGTCAAAATAAGTGGTTCAGTATACCATCAACAACAGAATGAACATTTATTGGAAAATATGTTGTTGTTTTGAATCGAGCTGATATCGGTCGTTGGGAATTAAAAAATGCTGATAAATTAAGGGTGTGGGGTACGGATAATGGGTGACTGAAGCGTGGATACACGCCCTACATCCACATCCTATTATCATTCATGTTTTAACGTTGAGTCGAAGTATTAAATCTGCAATATGAACTGTAAGGGTGGATGTGAATTAAAAGAACACTCATACCCTAACTACAATCTTTATTCCAAAATAAAAGCGAAAATTATTTCAAATACAGTGACTGATAGAGCAAACGTTTCTCTATAAAATAATATACTAATAATTATTTTGCTCTAAGTCATTTATCAACATCGTGTATGTTGGTAAGGTACACTGTGTTCATTTTCTTAGTATAAATTTAATTTCCACGTCTCTAAAAAGTTGATCGATAACATCTTAACCAGGAGTCGTAGAGAAATGCTGAACATATATTCGAAAACAAGACAAAATTTTGATTCAAGCTCAATATTTTCAAATTTCCGTAGAAGTTGGAAAATGAATGCATATTTTGTCAAATTACTTTTCAGTTACCCATTGTATGAACAATTAAAAGTAAATAATAATGAATTATTATTTCATGAACATATATTTTCTTCAGAGATTAATAATTTTTAGTTTTTGATGGTAAGCTGTTTTTGTTCTTAAAAAATAATAAAAAGTTCGTTATGAACAACGTATTATCTTGTAATAGAAACAATATTTGTCACAGATGCATGAAAATGATAATGTCTAAATGAAAAAACCATTAACAGAGTACTTTTATATCTGCTAATAAATCAATACTGATTTCAATATGTATATATAGTATCTGCATTTAATTCGATCATTGATCAACATCAAAATAAATGATATTTTGTTCTTTCTTTTTAATAAAATTTTCCTAAAGATATATTGATCTATTGTATTCCAAATAAAAATCAAATATAAATATTTATATAATCTGTTGTATTTTAGGAAATGGATCTTCTTTACTTAGCACAACTGTCATATGTTTATAAGATATATAAGCTTTGATACGATTTTGACATATTAATGTAGCCAATAGAGTAGCACATTGTAATTGATCACATGATTGACCATGGTTACTCCATTGAAATGCACGTGTAAATATTTCAATTGATATTTTATTTTCTTTATCCATTGATAACCATACTTGACGAAAAAGATTTCTCACAGACAATAAATATAATGTTTCAACATGAAGTAATAAGCCTTTGGATAAAAAATATTTATGATGAATCGTTTTTATATATTGATCAAATTCATATAATTGACCTTGTTTTATAGCAACAAGTAAATCATAAAAAGCAGTTAATTTATATTTAGAAATAATTTGTAAACAAGGTGTATAACCAAATTGCATTTTTGATATACATAAATGAATTAATATAGATGCTTTATTTTTTTTCATAAAACGTGGACAACGTTGAAATATTGGATCAAAACATTCAGTTGCTTTTCGATAATCATCTTTGAATAAGGAAGATTTCCCTAATGTTAATAAATAAAATAAAATTATTAATGACATATTTACTGATAAAAATAATAATCATTCAATACTTAGATTTATTTTCTAATACAAAGTCAAACATAGAGTTCTGTGAGACAGTTCAGAATCCAGAGAAATCTTGTTTGTTTCGTTTCGTAGGACAATTATAAAAACTTATTGTTACATGAAAATATGTGGTACACTTTAAACCTTTTATTTCTAGCAAATATCTTCATACAACAGAAAAAAGAACCAGACAATCACTCAAACAAACTCCCAAATAGAAAATGTGTCTGATTCCACGAGCTCGAATAGTGTCAGAACGTCATCCTATACAACATCATAATGAATTTCAGTAGTGTTCAGCTATGTTGACTCAACTGACAAATTAAGAAATAATACATCTGAATCAACTATTGCCATATAAGGAAACTCTTAGCTGTTAATTATCATTTTGCACATTTTTACAGTCCTCGAACGAAATCGAGTTTTTGAAAAATGGATTTCGAATTGATAGTTAGATGTTGAAATGAAATGATCAAAATTTGTTCTCAATAATGAAGATGAGTCATTTTTTTAAAAATATAGTACAATCATTATTTAACATAGAGTTTAAATATGAATTCATTGTGTAAAAACCTTTATTGTAAAACGAGATTTACGAAAATTTAAATAAAAGTTCATGCATAACACTCAACATGTGTGAGTCGAACTTTTCTTTTCTAATTTTAACGCTATTGATTTTAATCTTATTGTATCAGGGAGTACGTATAATCTACGTTACGCACACAATTTCTGTCTTGATCACGACCATTTTCAGTTAAATAATAAAATGAAGGGTTTCAAGCTTAGCTATGGCAGATCTACACATAGTGGAATAAATAATCCAAAAATTGAAGTTCCGCAGACAATCTTAAAAGATTCCACTAGAATCTGAACTTAACCGAACCTTGGGTAGCTTCTATGCTTGTCCAGATACCCCAAGAAACGCTGAGCCAATCACTTAAATACCTGACACTGTCTGACTTGGTTGAATAGTTTTGAAATGGATAGAAAATTTTTCGTCCTACAAAACTATTTGATGTGTTTTTCGAATTAAGTCTTCGCGACGACAAATGAAAAGCTACTCAGACATCTAACTACGACAGTCAATTTGAGAAGAGATAGTTAGAAGAACCATTTCTCAAGTAAAAATTCCGAAAACACAACAAAAATTCTTTTCTAATAAGCTCATGTCGTTATTGATTTTTTAATGCAGAAAAACCTAAAGATTTTCGTTGTCCAACTTAAAACTTATATCATTGTGTACAGAATTAAATTCTACATCTGGCAACATAATAATCAAGGCTTCATAGAACAAGTCTTAAAAGCATAGTGGAAAAAATCTATATACTTTAATCTTTGTGATAATTTCAAATAATTTTTTAATTTGTGTTTTTACTAACCTAAAAAGTAATCATATGTCATTTTTTGATCTTCTAATAAATAATGTCTATATTCTAATGATTGTTCAGCAAACGAAAGTAATTGTTCACCAAGTTCATAACGTTTTATTCTATGACATAATTTAAGTAATTGATTAAGTATTTGTATAGCTCCCCACTTTTTTGATAAACGTTGTTCGGTACAACGATCGCTAGTACATACACGAAATGCTTCTGTAAGTAATTCAACTGTTTTATTTACATGTGTTTCTAATATTTGTCGATCATTATTAATTGATAAATCAGCAATACGTTGCGTCGGTGGACTTGTACGTCCATTAATATTAGTTGCTATATTTATTGTAAAATAATTTGTTAGAAGACGAAGTTCAGTTAATGTAAGAATAAGAATTGGTATATGCCAATTTTTATTTTTACTTTCTTTAACAAGATCAAGTAATGAACGACAAAGCGAATATTGATATTGTACAATATCATTTAAATAATTTTTATACAATGATGTTTGACATATTTTAATATGATTTGTTAATATAACATTCCAACCTTGTACAACACGACCATATTTTTCAAATAAATCACATGAATTTGATGAAGAAAATTTTTCAATATGAACATTATGTCGAATACTCAACAGACTACATAATGATGAACTATTCATGGCAAATATAGCGTCATTGAATTCATCCAAATATTTTTGTAATTCATTTACTAAATTAGACATCTACAAATATATATTTTTATTTGCTTACATATACTTAACATTTCTTATTGTTTTTATTTGGAGTTCTTCAAATATTCTTGTTTTTATTTAGAAAAAAAAAAAAATCTTACATTATACACAATAGAGAGCTAAACTAAAGAAATAATACAAAAAAAAAAAAGAAAACATGTTTTATATCCAACAAATTATTGAAAGAAGATCATCACATCTTGACATAATTTATGATCTCTAAAAGAAAAAAAAATACATAAACTTAGAAATAGATATATGCAGCGCAGTCATTCGTAAGCGACGTGGGACTGCAACGAGCCTGCTTACGACTACGTCTAACTTTGTTCATAGACACTTGGAAGTATTCTTCTGAGGTGAAATTAGTCGTTTTTGACATTCCTATTCGGATTTATGAAACCCTAAATGTTGGCACTTCGATTTTATTTTCCAAAACTTTACGTATTTCTCTCATCAAAGAAAGTCAGATCTTTGAAAAAGCTTAAAACCACCTATGAAATAAAGTTGAAGATATCTTAAAAAACAACAAATTTTCAGTCCGATCGGACAAAGTCAGGCGAGTACCTTTAGTCAACAAATTTTATATCTCTATTCGAAATTTCAATACTACATTACAAGATAATTTCATTTAAAAAAAAACATACATATGAAACTGAACGACTACTAAATGGAGGCGGATGTGGTGTTGTTGGTAATCGGCCGCGACCAACTCCAGTGGCTAACATATTTCGACGAATATTTTCAAATTGAGAACTTCAAATAAAATAAATAATAAAATTTCATATAAAAACAAAAACAAAAAACTTACTCAAGACTAGCATCCGCTACACTATTTGATTGACTCATTAGTCCGCCGACAGTATCTAATAATCAGAGAAAAAGAAAACTTTAAAAAACAAAAATCAAACATTCTCCTACAAGCACTAGTTCGTTTCGGTTCATATGAAGCTATTGTTTGTGATATTTGTTTTGGTGATTCCGTAACTGGTCGTGATGATAATGCACCATCACGATCCAGATAAGATGATTGAGGACGAGATGGAATTGTTGCACTTGGTATAGCCCTAATATATAAATTTCAACTATCTAATCAATCAATACATTCAAAAAAAAAGTAAAAATCACTTACGGTGTTATTGAATTTGACCACATCTCATTTTGTCTATATGAAATTTAAATATAATAAAAACAAAATAAATAAATTAAATACAAAACAAAATAATAATTTACCCATTAAGTTGTCGTAATTCATCATCATTAAAAATTTGTCCTGTATGTGCTTCTCGATCCCAATCTTCACCATTCATAACAACAGCCATTTGTCGTTCATTAGTATCAGATGAATGATCTTCCCAATCTAAAGAAAAATTATTAATATACATATTTATTTTAAGAAATAAGAAATTAAATCTTACTAAAATCACTCATGCCTCGAGCAATAGCATCATGAACAGTTTGATTATCTGGACAAGTTGACATATGCTTAAATAATTCACTTGGTGTTGTTAAATGTGTTGCATTGAACGAACATTTAACACGACGAATATGTGGATTAGCCTTGAAAACAAAAAATAAATTATTTTTTACTATTGTTTTTTGTCTTTACTTTTGCACATCGCATGATATGATATTGAAAACGTTTTGCTAATACCTTATGATTAAGATCATATGGACAAAGCCTTCAAAAGAAAAAAAGATTCATATGGGAAATATTCTTATTGAATATTTTACTCCTACCAATAATCATCAGGATCACAATAAAGAGGCATTATTTTTATTTTTAAATCTAAAAAGAAAATACAAAAATTTCAGGGATACAAAACTTTTATTTTTTAAGTTGCCGGGTTATCGGGACATTCACATAAATGATCATAATATTTATTTGGTGCTATTTTATGTGTACTGTTAAAAAGACATTTAATTTTTTTTACATTTGGATGATTCTATAAAAAAAGAAAAAGAAAAAAACAAAACAATCGATTTTTGATGACATGAATAATTTAACTAACTTGTGAACATCGATTAATGTGATGTTTAAAATTACCCGAAAGTACTTGATGTGTCGAATCAAATGGACAAGTCAAATATTCACCTTCTTCAAATACTGATGTCGACATAGTTAATGAAAAAAAAATTCGTTATAACGATGAGTCATTGGAAATGATTTTATTTTATTTTTCGTATTTTTTAAAGATTTTTTATTAATAGAAAAAATAAATAACAATTTTCTTTGTTTCTCTTTATTTTTTATTTTAAATAAAATTAATTAAGCGCCATCTGTTGTTTAATCAACATTTTGATTCTGATTGACGAATAGAATTATATCGTGTAAGCAAGTAAAAGAAAGAAAGAAAGCAAAAATTGTCACATATTAAACTTTCTTACAATAGCTTTAACATACTATGTTTAATACAAATTGGCCTTTAAATCATAATACATCAACATCAAATGGTTTGTTTTTATATAATTAGTGACGATTAACTTTTGATTTATTTTTGTTTTTCTTTAGTTGATTGGAGTGCTTTGGCGGATAGTTGGATGCAACAGAGGGAACAACAGGCTCAATGGCAACAAGCACCTCTACCTCCACCACCGCCGCCGCCGCCGCCACCACCTCAATTTCTACTCACTGCTCCACCTATTCCACCTCCTGGTCCGCCACCCATTGGAATGACATTTCCACCGTTACCGCCAACACAACTTGGCATTGCTCCACACCATCACCAGCTACAGGTTGGTTCAAATACCACTCAGGAAAGTTTAACGATGACAAATATTGAAAGTAAGTCTTCAACTTGACTTTTCAGAAATATGAAAAGAAAATATATGAAGACGAAAGATATTAATGAAATGAAATGACTATTACTATTATTATTCTTATTTGTTTTTTTTTTCTATATGAAATTTTTATGGTATTTATTTAAATTATATTTAATATTTAGATTCACCTTGGAGACCACCACCTCCACCTCCAATTATGATGCCTAGTGGACCTCAATGGAGATCTAATATGCCTAATAATCAATCATTATTTTCTATTCAAACAGTTAGTAACAAAAAATTAATATTCTGAAATCAAATTTTCTTTTGTAGGAAATGGCTTTACCTTTCGGTGGTCATAACTTTTGGCCACCAAATAATACTGTTCAACAAGCACCACCACCTCCTGTGCCTCCTCCTGTACCTCCTCCAGTTCCACCACCAGTTCCACCTCAACAATCATCAATACCATCTCAATTTCCTACACCATCATTTCAACATATCTCTGTTGATAAAAGAATGATGAATTCAAATTTTAATACATCTATACCATCATTAATGGATCTTCCCTCTTCTTACGGGAAAAATCCGGTACCTCCACCAATGCCAGTTCCTCCTGTATCTATATTACCTCGTATGTATTTGAATGAAATCTTTAAAAAAAAAATAGTTCTTACTAAAAATAGGTAGTTATTTATTTATTTAAATATGCTTAGTTTGCAGTGTGATGGTGAAAATCAAACATAGTATAATAAACAGAGCAGGAAAAGAAAAAGAAATAATCTTTCTGGATCGACAAAACATTTTTTGTCCATTTAGATTAATTGAGTAGTAAACAGACATGAGTGAGATGTTGACAGATTTTTATCCAAATTATATCGTCATAATTCTTTTATCGATTTCTTTCCAAATGTATTCTAGTTTCTTCCATGTTCTAGTTACGCCTCGATCAAGGAAAACCGAAACATCATGAACTTGTCTTATCTTGTTATCTCTGACTGAATCATGATTTAATTACTTATAATTTTGATGCCCGATTTATACATTCTTGTTTTACTAAGTGGATTGCTTGACGATTAGATGTTTCGTTTTTCGAAAACAAGATCTCACGTTCTGTCCACTGAAGACCGAAGGTTTATTTGTATTTATACATTCAGTTTGATTTTATTCCTTAGACAAACATATTTAATGCAGCTATAGGACCTGCAGATGTCAAAGACATCTACAGCAGGCCATAGTACAATATGATTCGATGAGTTCTATTCAGACTACACTTTTGGGAAGGGAAGAAACGTCTTCATATGGCTGACACATATTTGATAGTAAACTGGAAATTAAGGTGATAGCTATCATTGCAAGTTACACTATTTTTCTAAAATAACGGCTTTTTTTTTTATAAAATTTGACGAAAGGCTTTCATGGACCAAACAAATTGAACTGAAGAATTTTGAAAAATCAATTAAAGATTCGGATTTGTCAAATCTGGAAATTTTTCTTTAAGTTTTATAGAAAAACGTTACTTTCGAAAAATATCCTTGTTTCGATTAAAATAATCGAATTAAAATTGTATGAATTTCATTCATAGTTATCACCTTAGTTTCCAGTCTAATTCCAAATATGAATCAGTACCAAAAGACGCTCATATCTATATATGATATTTGTCTTAGAGAGAGTAATTTTGTTGAAATTAATCTGAATTTTAATATTATTGTAGTTGAACCGCCAACAACAACAACAACAATGGCCAATATTCCAAGTAGTCGTAATGTGCATGCAAAGCGGCGAAAAATTCCCGCTTGGCTTCGAGATGAGTTAGGTAGAATAGAAAAAGAAAAAGAGAAAAAAATGCAAAATACAAGTAATAATAATCATTCATTAAATGATTCTTCTTCTGTAAGTTTTTATTTTTTTTTTGTAAAAAAAACTTTCTTGTTTATGTCATACTAATTTATTTACATCAAAAATAAAAAAAGAAATTTGATAATGATGATGATGAAGAAGATGATGAATATGAAACGAACAGCAATGAAAGATTCCACGAATCGACAACAAGATTCAATGATGATGACGATAATGATGAAGAAATCGAACAAAATGAAGATGAAGAACCAAGTTCGACATTGATTTCTTCGACACCAATTGTCACTCGACGAAGTCGCTTTGTGGGTTGTTGTGATTGGACATTTAAAAAAAGAACAATGTGTTTATTATCATCTTATTTTCTTCTAACATTTCAAAGGATGATGACAAATCGACTGAACAACAGCTAAATGTAAGTGCGATTTCGAGACGAACACATTCACCATCATCGCCATCAAATTCGACGACGACAACAACGACGACATTCATCGAGGATGATCAAGTAGATAAAGAAGAACAATTCGTAAGAAATTTTTTTTTCTTAATTTATTTAATATTTGATATTTTTTTTCTTATCAGACGATCAAATTACGTCGTACATTGACAGAATTGTTACTTGAAGTAACAAATGAAGAATTAGCATCTATTGCTAAAGAAATTTATTTGAATTGTAAAGGTAAATACGTTTCTCTTTTTGTGGCTTTTCTATTAAATGAAAATATTTTTGTGGAACTCATATATTTTCGATGAAAATAGTGAGTGGAAATTTTAAGTTTGGGTTTTTGCGGCTTCCTCCCCCATCACAGACGTTAGCAATCAAGAAAAAAAAACACGGGTCAGACTTTCTAGAGTTTTTTTTTTTCAAAATTGATCAGGTCATAGTTTTGAGAAATAATGAATATATATAATAGTGCGTAAAATCTGCTGTAGATATCATGGATATGTAAAACAGACTTATTTGTTAATCAATTCAAAATAATTAATGCAAACAAAAAATAGAGCGCCCGTAGAAAAAAATAAAAATTTCTGTTCAAAATGCAGAACTAAATAAGACAAGTCTTTACTTTGTTGATCAATTAACTTCGAACACAACTATAGTCTATGAAAGATTTTCCGCTTCTCCTTTTTCTTTTATTAGATTAATAAGGCTAAGCGATTTATGTGAGTTCCACATTTCAGTCCCAAAGAGATTGCGCTAACAAGCTTTTTTTTATTTTAGCTGAGTCATCAACACCTGTTATTCGAAAAGCTTCTGGACTTTCAAGTCTTATACAGAGTAATTAAGAATAAATTTCTTATTTTTATTTAAAATACATATATTTTTATTCTAGGCTTTTCGGGAACTGATTCTGATGATGAAGATACGGAATTTCAATCGATGATAGATACAACTGTAATAAAGAAATCACCTATTCGAACACCAGTAAAACAAGATAATGGTAAATTAGATAAATTGCCTATTTAGATGAATGTAATACATGAGTAAATCTGTTCAAGGAGACGAAGTGTGACATTTAATTGAGTTAATACATTTGAGATTTGAGCAATCGGGTTTTTATTCAGAAAGTTTTACTCGTTTCATCAAGTTATTTTGTCTAAAAAGACAAAGCTCAATCAAACTTGTGTATAATCTGAAAAAAATATGAAATGAAAATTGTTGACATTCTGTAAATCGGAAATTTCTGTAATAGTAATTCTTTGATGTCTTATCTATAAATAACAGTATCATTAAATGTATGTTTTAGTTTCTTTTGTCTGGCATCTATTCATAACAAAAGATACGAAACAATGTGATGACTCACTTTTTATGTAATTTTAAGTAAAAGGGATCTGTCAAGATCTGATAGAAATTATAAAAATACAATAGTGTGTTTTAGCTGCGTAGTTTATTTAATTTTTTTCTTTTCATACGCTTAGTGAATAAACTGTAGTTGAAGACAATGCAATTAAACAGCTAGGCTCTTTCTCAAAAACAAAAAGTTTAACATCGGACATCTTTCATAGATGTCCATCAGGCAGTCTGAATATTATTTTATCGAATGAACAAGAAAATTATATGAAACAGAGCACTTTCTTTCATTTTCTTTATTGAGAAGACTGACATTATCGCTTGCTGTCGCAGTTGAGAAGGATTTTTCCATTTTTATGTAAAAGTGAACCTCTAACATGATGTATTCAATCATGTGTATGACTTACGCACTTTTTAATTCAATATTTGAAGTAATTTTGCTAGTGGCAGCGTGACCGAAGAAAGGGAACACTGTTCTACCTTCGGAAATTTGTTGTTTACTTCTTTCTGATTTTATAAAAGTTTGGAAAATTTGATTCATCTTTGCCACTGATGAGTAACTTTTTAGAACCTTTTGAATCTTTCTGAGAACAGAATTTCCACTTATTTATTCAACTTTCTCGAATAACTGCGCAAAAAGTAGAATTTTCTAGGAGTTTATAATGATTTTAAGTTTTCTGTTGAATTAATGAGCCTTTCTTGAAATTTGATTGTTAAATAGTAAATATTTGACAGCAACACGATTCTAATATCATTTTTTACTATAAGAAAAAAGATATTTACACTACTCTTTACCCTACAAAAAGCCTTTCTTCTCCGATCTTCCGAAGTACTACATTTTTTTCTCCGCGCCGCCTATGGACTTTTTACATTCAGAAGACTATTAGATTCTAGACTGACAATAGAAAAGCAATAGCGATTTGATCAAAATGATTTATTATTTACTTGCTACGCGTAACAGTTCGATCTCGATGGTCCTAAAGGAGCAGCTAGTTAATAACACGTGTATCCATTAAAAAGATATAGAAACCTCTCCCCCAAAAAAAAGACAAGGAAAAAGAATGAATGACAAACAGTCGATTTCAATAGAACAACAAAAATCGACTGATTGCACTAGAATGTCTAGGAAAATTCAGCATAGCATCTTATATCTTCCACATTGATAATCGCTTCTGAATCAAATGAACCATGATTTGATAATCAATTTGAATTATGATCAAATACATCTACATGAGAGACATGGAACAAGTTACATTTAAATGTTGTTGCTTGAACAACAGATAGCCATCCAATGATTTAACCATAGCAGTTTATTAGCAAACTTTAATTTGAGCACGAAATTCAGTGGGATTTGATATAAAAATTATAAGAAAGTTTTCACTGAGCAAGGTTACTTAAGGAAGATCAATTATTCTAGATCGTTCGTTAAGAGGAAAAGAAATGAAATTCAATTTCTGTATATTTCGCAATGCTCCTATGCACTACTAATCAACACTAAATAATTCTTGTTTTCATAGCTTCGATTCAAAGTATAGGAGTTGAAATTCTCACATTTACTCTACAGGCGTGATAAACACCTTAGTATTGCTCCTTCTTATGCAGGATGCCAGATATATTCACAAGTTCGAAGTCTACTGCTAAATTAGTATAAAATATAGTTGAATTTGTGATAGATGTCCTTTAACCTTGTTCCAAATTAATTGTAATATATATTGATTATCATAACTTATCATCAATATGCATTAGCAGTAAGCATTAATTCACAAAGCAAAACTTCTGTCGATAAATTTCTGGATGGCCGAAATTTCGCCAGTGGCAAAAGTAGGTTGGACTATTGTAAGCTGCCACGAAACAATGTTAATATAGGATAATTGTGATAGCTGAACCTAATATTGTTAGAATACGTATATTATAGCTTACATTTAATAATATAACTAATGAAAATGTTTTAATCCATATGGAATTCCAAGTCATATGATCAAAATTCCGAAATTCTGAATTCCTTGTTTAAGAAAATGAGCATCTCTGCTGTGTTTGCAGATCCCTAGTCGTACGCCTTTCTCTAAGCATTTATGGACACAAATCTAGCATATAGTAAGCCTCATAGGAATATGTTAAACTTTTATAATATTTTATTCTAGTTTCAACTAATTTAACAAAATCTACAAATAAAAATGTCGATGATGATAATAAATCAAATAAAAGTAAAGACAAGAAATCTACTAGAGACAGAAGTCCATTATCATCCTCTTTATCGCATGATCATAAAAATAAAAAACATCATCATCATAAAAAACATCGTCATCGTTCATCATCATCATCATCGTCAAACTCGTCTCAATCACGTTCACAAAAAAAGAAAAAATCTTCTAATCATGATCAATATTCTGAATATACAAAATCGAAAAAATATGATGATCGACGACGAAAACGTTAAATCAGTCGTTTTTTTTTCTTCCTGTATTTCCTTTTTTTTTTTGTATGATATTACACTAAACTAAAAACACAATATTTCACAAGATTGCATCATCTTTTCTTGTGCTCTTATATTTCCTTCTATATATTTCTTAAGATGAAAACTATATCAATATTATATCGATTTATAATAGCAATATTTCTATGGTTTTTAAATATAACACAATGGTTTCATAGAATTGTTATTCAATTTATAAGTCGAAATCGTTATACTATAACGGTTAATATTGATGTTAGTCGAAATGATCCATGGAATATAAATAATGATCAAATGAATAAAATAAAATTTAATAAACCAACAGAAGTACTTGCTTTGATTATTAATGAACGTATTCCTGATATTGATTTATGGAAATTTATTGTTAATTCAATAGTCTTTTTTCAAAAATTAAATATTGAACATTTGATTATTTATGATTATGAAGGTAACAACAAGAAAAGATCTAAGTAAAGAATAATAGGCTTTTTTAGGTTATATTAAAGCTCGTGAAGCTTCTATTATGGATTATGTTCATACATATGATAAAAAAGGTATATAAATATTGTTTCAAGAAGAAAAAATACTGTCTTTTAGAAATATTCATAAATTGCTGTGATCAATAATTATTATTTATTAATGAGAGTAATAATACTAGAACATTTAAACGGGCAGATTACTTAAGCTAAATGTATTTCAATAAACGCTATCATTCATGATTGACTAGTTTTCTATTCGTATAATTTTTATACTCGTAAAATAAAATTTCCAATTGATCAAGAAAGATTTCGTTTAAAAGTAGAAAGATATGTTCAGAGCTGAGCAAGTAAAACTATGTACTCTTACTCAAGAGGTTAGTCTCCAAGCAAAAATGATTTGATACTTAGAAATGTTTTCCTGTGAGTCAAAGAACATAGCTTATAAAAAGTTTATAGTCTGCTTTCTTAAATCAAGTTCCATAAAAATATATTTGAGATGCGACTTCAGTCATTACCTAGGACTTGTTGAGATAAGAAGAAAGCTAGAAGGATTTTTATCTTTGGTAAAGTTTTGAACCAAAATTCGTTTGTTCGATTTTTTCAAATAAATACCATGCCAAAGGTAACAATGTTAGTATAACAGCTATAATTTCAAAAAGAACAGCTCATAGGAAAGAATCTTTCTCGGTTTCTTCTAGTCTCAGTATGTCTTACGTAATGGCTGGACTCTCATCTCAAACACGAGGTATTATCTCGAGTAGTTCTCTTGTTAGTTCATATATTTGCCAAAGAAAGAAAGTCGTAAAATTTCTGTTATTTGAATAAGCTCATTATAAAACTATGTCTAAATTTACATTTACATTCTATTAGAATCATCTCTTCCATCATTACCAACAATTCATTTCCTATCGCTCACTGATTGTAGTCAAACATTAGCTAAAGTAACTCAAACTCTTTGTCAACAAGTCAAACAGAATGAAATAAATCCAGATTCTATTCAAATTGAAACAGTCGATCGTTGTTATACAAGTAAAAAAAGCATAACACTATCATATAGTTTGATAGAATTTAATCTTATTTTTATTTTAATCCATAGAATTATCAACCATTCCAGAAATAAATTTAGCATTAATTATTGGACCAATTAAAAGTGCACTTGGTTTACATCCATGGTTAACACGATTAACTGAATTTATGTAAACAACAAAAAGAAAAAGATTTATAACTTTAAGCTTTTCTTTTTTCTATTGAGCATTTTCTTGTTTTTTTCTTATAGAATGATCGATTCATATAAACAAATTCTTACAACAAATTCATATATTAATATTGTTCAACGTTACAATCAAATCGAACAAAGACAAGGTCGATAATAGTTTATTTTACCTAATTAGATTGATTGTTATTAGGCCAAATGACAAAATAAAGGAAAGTTTCAAGTGATTAGTTTTTTTTTTCTAATTTAAAATGTTATATCTTCTATTCTTGTGTCTTTTTCTGATTCATTCAATTGATTATGGGGGATTATTTGTTATCCTTTTATTTATTTATTTTGCTGATCTTCATATGACTCACGTTGAGCATTTGTTTTGTTATTCTGAGAAGAGAAAAAAAAAGAATAAAATGAATAACGTTTATCTTTGACATTATTTATAGATGAATGCTGATTTAACACATCCGGAAATATTAACTATTGAACAATTACAAAAGCATTTAATAAAAGTAAAAGAATACAAAAAAAAACAACATGCTTTTCTAAGAATGAAAATGTTTACATTATTAGTTTGTTGGATCTAATATAACAAATGATAAATATGAATTAATCCAATTATTTTATAAATATATTGCACCATTACCTCAACGAAAATTTCGTACAAATCGCTTGGGAACAATGCTTACAAATAGTCAAACACAATTGAAAGGAGAAAAACGGCCGTTATCCACTGATTTAGAGTGAGTAGAAAAAAAAAATTTATTCAAAATCTCTCTTTTCAATGTCAAAAAATAGAAGAGAGTGGATTATATTTGTTAGTAATATTATGCCGTTGGTAGATATAGTCAAGACGATCCTAGTTGTAACTCTGAAAGGATCAGCAGCTGCACTATTTCATTGCGAGCGATACCTTTTATGGTTTTGTAAAACTGATATTGAAAGTCATATTGTCACGAATCATGTCTTCTAACTGAATATGAGGAAGATAATTTTGCCGGAATAAAAAAAAAAAGACTAGTGTCGCTTATGTCTAGCCGATGAAATACGTCTGTTAGTGTTCGAACTGATTGAACACGTTTCAATATCGACTTAAAGGATAAATTGATGTAAAAAAAAATCGAATTCTTATTGATGAAATGAGAGCGAGCAATGTCATTTCAATTGATGCAATCGTTAACAGACGAATTCAGTAAAGACTAAAGAGGTTATGGATAGTTTTACATTGAAACAGTTCTTGTATAAAAAACCGTTTATAACTTCATGGATTTCGAATTTAATTGATAAATTAACGATTGTTCTAATTGAAATACCATTGCTTCCTTTCATTTCAATAATAAGAAATCCGAACATGACATCGATCTACAGACTAATTTGAATTTTTTTGACATCAATTAAAATCGACAGAGAAAGCACAAATCGCCGTTCTTGGCTCTATTCTTCCCAGATTCCTATTTTGCAGAAAAATCAGCCAAGAGTCTTCTTCTATCCTTTCTATATAAGATTCTTGCCTGATTTACAAGATCTTGTGGAAATGACAAGAATCAGGTAGACAGAATCTTGGATGGTGAAGCAAGAAATCCAAAATCTGGAAAGAATCTTGCACTTCTTGGAATCCAGGACAGATTCTTTTTTTTTATAGTATAGGATCATTTTCTTAGGTAATCTGAACGGATTCTTGCATTTTTTTTTGAATACCATCCTCCTGCTATATATAGACTTTCATTATCAATTTTATTCGTACTTTATAGGTTCACAACAAAAAGAAAAAAATGAACACTATAATATCACATTTAGTTGTCATAATTCAAACAAATAAAGAAAAAGAAACATCGATAAAGTAACATTATAAGAAAAAAGAAAATAAGTTCAACTATATGAGAATAACAATCTTCACTAAGGAGTAATAAAATGTTCAAAAAGAAGAAAAAAAAAATATCGAGCGCAATATTCAATAACTACTCACTATTCTAACTCTTCTTCATGTTCATCATTTTGAACCAATCGTTCATCGACTGTTGATGATTTTTTTTCTTCAATATTGCCTTTTTCAACGTAATTAATGGACCTTTTTTATTTGTATCGTGTTTCATTTGTTGTAATGAATTCTTGATGGAATATGCATTGGCGAAAATAGAAGAAACGTTCTGACCATGTATATGTGCAAGTAACCGTAATAGATAAAAATTTTAAAATCTAAGTGTTATAGAAAAAAGTCCCATTTAAGTTACCTAATAATATGTCGAATTCACCGTTTCGTAAATCATTGAAGCATGCTGTTTCGCCATAACCCAGGCAGACAAACTTTTCAGAAAACGCGTTTAAACGCACAGAAATTGACCTAAAATCCGCAAAAAGTGGTCGTTTTCTCATACTCGAGATGCATGATCATGATAACAGTAATGTTTCTGGAGTTGGGAAAACATGACAACTTTTTTCTCTTTTTGGAATGCGTGTACACGCGTTTCTTGTCTGACAATGCGTTTAAACGCACAAAAAGGTCGAAAAATGGATATTCTTGGCTCGCAGTCGGAAACCGCGAGTGTGAGCCAAAAACGTCCACTTTTTGCCGATTTTAGGCCAATTTCTGTACATTTAAACGCGTTTTCTAAAAAGTTTGTCTACTAGGGAAGCGGCTCGCAGCAAAGCTCTTGCAGTCGCATTGATAGATGTAGACGGTGAAAATTTACTTAAATCAACACCATTTAATACCTAATTGTAAAAATATAGAGAGAAAAATAGAAATTCTTTGTATACAGCAAAACTTTAATGGAGAAACATTTCATTGTCGTTTGATTTAAATCCAAACTTGAAACAAAACTCGAATTTAATTTAACGCATATCTTTTAATAACACATCTCACCTACTTACTGTAACTAAATTGTCATCATCATTATGTTGTTGCATTTGTAACATTTTTGATTGCTAAAATGGAGAATAAAAATATGGAATGTTATTCCTTTAGTAAGTTCACCAACCAAATGTAAATTATATGACATTTGTTGTGATAATGTATCTAATTCACGTGGAGCATTTGTTAATTCCGAAAGTAAACGTGTTTCATGTTCATTTTGAGCCAATATCTCTTTTACCATTTGATTTGTTTCTTCATATGCCTTTAACAATGGTTTTATTACTTGTGTAACAGCTAATACGGAAAAGTAAAAAATAATCACTAGTTTTGCATAGTTTTTTTTTTAGTTACTACATTGTGTTATATCAGAAGTTGGCCTTGAAGTTGTTATTGATGATCTTGAAATCGATGAACTTGTTGAACCAGTCGGATTACCTAACATTAAAAATGAGGGGCGATATTTTTGGACAAAAATAAAAATAAAATTACTGAAATGATTGTGATGCACCTGTATTTTGTAATACAGGATTAAATCGTTTCCGAATAGGTGGTGCAGATGAAGCAGTTGAACTTCTATTAGTTGTTAGTCGTGGACGTTTAGCTGGTGATTCTTAATGTTTAAATATACATTTATAATGAGTTCCTTGCTTAATTGTTTTCGTACCATCAAATACTTGACTATTTCCATGATTTGTTGTCGAGGCTGCAATCACAGGTAAAGGTTCATTGACAACATGACGATCATCTAATCTCGGCTCTCCAGCAGGAAATGATGATGAATCACCTTATAAAATAGAAAAATATATAAGAACTTTAATAGATTGAAAAATATCTATCTCTTCAAGATCGATATTACAAATAATCATAAAAATTGAACGTAAACTTACGATCGTTGGCAGCTAAGATTGATTGAGTTGGTTGTATTATAGATGCAGGTTGTATAAGATGATATAATCGACCAGAATATTGTTCTTTGACAATTTCATCGTTGTTGTTAATGTTTGGACGATGGAACATATTTAAATTAATCTGAAATGAAACAATAAGATCTAATTAAGTACAAAAAATATCATTATTATCCTTATTCATGACTTTAGAAAAATGACTGTAACAAAGAAAAAAACCGTTCCATTACGATTGATCTACATCATAAAAAATTTCAGAGAGTAGAGTGAGATTAGACATAGGTATAAAGATACATTTATAGAGAACAGAAGAAAAAGGCACAGAAACGAATTCATCAGTGCAACCATCACATTTAGTGTAATATTTATCGAGAAATTTTGGTACAATTGGAGAGAAAGACCATTTTTGCACAAAGTCGCTTTTAGAAAAAAAATTAGCCGTCGTGCGATACAATTTTATAAACGCATAATAAGAATTGAATAGTTTGAAAAATAAAATAATTTCGCCAAAACATTTTTTCTTGTCATTATTATAAAACGACACAATAAAACTTTGCGTGTTACCACGCCTGCGATAAGAAAACGAGTGAAACTCAGATAGTCCTCTCGATGCCCGACAAAAAAAGTGTAATTCTGGATTGTCTATAGAATCAATAACGTTGTCAATGGAATTAAGAATATCCTTCTCATAATGAACGATATACTGTACATCCAAAAAACTATCATCTATCAATTTCTCATCAACAAAAATATTATTGATCGACAACGTTTCATTTTCGATTAAGCAGCGCGATCTGTCAAATGAGCAACAAATCTGGTGCGCAATTAATCGATTTCCAGAACGTAAGGACCGAAGAAAACTTTCATTAGAAAAACAGTTATGAAAACATAAAGCACCATTACTCACAACTTTTTCTGTTAAATGTAAGTTTGCATGTGCTGAGTATATTTCAAATGATAAACCGTAAAACTTTGATACTTATTGACAATAGAGTTTGATGAGGGGATTAACTTCCACTACTTCCTTGAAATCATAATAAAAATAAAGTGTTCGAATAAAAAAGAAGTACAAGCAAAAATGAGAAGAGATGTTCTCAGGAAGCGTGGCGAAAACAAACGAAAACATTAAATATAAAAAGAATGCTCGATAATCATGAGCCTTCCAAAATGCACGATCAAAAAATATGTTCAACTGAACATTGATATTGTGTGGCCATTTTATAGTTCTTAAAAAATCGTTACCTGATAACCACGCTTGAGCAACAACTATTTCCTTCCATTTTTCTAATAATAAGTTACAATGACCAATAAAAGATAGATGCATAATGTCGAGATCGATTTGTGTAGGTATATCAAGAATCTTTGATAGTGGGCTAACACCTTTAACGCCAAAAAATCGCCAGTAGAAGATTTAAGTGCCACTTCGCTGCATATACTGAAATGAGCTGGTGTACGAAGGTTTACCTGATTTTGTGTAAATGGATAAAGAACAATATTTGATTCTGAAGACCACACACCTTATTGATCACATTCAAGACAAGCATAATATCCGTTGTGATGTATATGTTTACATGCTAAAGCACGTGCTGGTAAATCACCTTTAAATAATTGTACGTTAATGCTAAACTTTGTACCATCAACGACTAGAATTTGTTTAAGTGAATCACATAACCGTGCCAATAATGTATCTGAATCTGGTTTGATTGGTCCATTCCTTAAATTAAAAAAAAAAATAAAACAATAATTTAAGTTTTTATTTTTATTTGTATGTGCAGGAAAGAAAATGTTTTGGAGATAGGGAAGAATCGTATTTACCTTTCTCAAACGTAATATTGTCATGATTTTATTTTTTTTAATATACTAAACATTTTCATATTCTAATCATAATTGTTTTGATGCATTTTAAACAAGGATAAGAATGTATTTTACTCAAATATTTGAAGTGTTTTAAGTTAGACAAGAGATTAAGATCTAAAGTATTCAGCTAAATAGTTCTAAAATAGACTACTCTTATCATAATACAAATAAAACCATGTTAATTTGATTTTCTCTTAAAGGCGGTGGAATCTCCATAATAGATCCCATTACTATCCATGTGTGTTTTTTGGCCCAACCACATATAGGTGTACTGTCAATATGTAACATTAATGTAATGGGATATGTATCATTTGCTGTTGCTCGAAGATGAATTAATTTTGCTTGATAAATCGTACTTGAAATAATATCACAGGGTAATATTTGATTAGCAACTTGTGGATAGTTTATTATCAATTTTTTGTTTCTACGAATAATATAAATTAATTGTTGATTTAATTTGTTCATGAAAAGATGCTCAATAACATTTTCTGTTCGTCGTTGAATCCCATTTTGTTCACATAATATTGAACATGCATTTTTCTCATCGATAACGCGTAAACATTGTACACATCTTATTGTTTCTTCAAATGAAACTTTTTCTTGAAAAATTTCAATTAATTTCGTGTACGATTTAAATAGCTTATGACCCGGTGGTAAACCTTCATCAATTAATTTCAGCAATTTATTCATGTGTGTATAACTTAATTTAGTCATGTTACCGAATTTAATGATTTTTTTATGGAACTGTTTACGAGTAATTAATGCACTGGAATATAATGGTTCATCTATTTGATCCGAAATCATAAATTCTAAAAGAAGAAAATCTTTTTAAAAAATTCTTTTCTACAAGTCGGCTTATCAGAGCATAAAAATCTTGAAGTTTTTTATTAAATGCTGCCACAAAGACTAAGTTCTTAGGTGGCAGAAAAAAGATCAAATAAACTCATGTAAACGAATAAAATACTACTTTTATATATTATTAACTAGAAGGCAGGGTCTCTTACCATCTGATTCGAACAGAAATGGATTTGATTCAAAATAATGATCATTACCATCTTCGCTAAATTGATTATTATTTTGAGTATTCATCATCGACAGGTGGTGAACACAGACTCATATCTTCCTAAAATAAAAATTAATAAATAATTATAGAAGTCAAACAGTAAAAATTTCAAAAACGACATACGATTTGTTCATTAGATGGAAGATGTACTGGTGAATGTGGTAAACATAAATTTGTATCTTCCTAAAAAGAAAAAGGTAGTACAATAACACAGAAGTCAAGGAGTAAAATTTTTAAATCAACATACGATTTGTTGATTATAATGAAGAAATACTGGTGAAGTTGGTGAGTAAGGTTTCTTTGTTCGGTTTGTGCGCCATCGACGTTGTCTAGTATTACGTGAGGATGGTGCTAAATAAGAAAAACTAACACAGATGATGGCAGAAATATCTTAAAACAACAAGTATCTTACGTAAATCCTTCAAAGCTTCATTAACAAGCAATCTAACAAAATCTTCTTCGATTTGATCATTCATGGTAATTTCTTGAGAGAATTTTTGATTCTAAATAAAAAAGAAAAGAAATTATAACTTTCTGTTTTATACCGAGTGAACTGTTATTCGAACCGCTGACAAAGAAATGTTGCACACAAAGAGCTATACATCTATATTATAAAATGACTATTGTAAGTTACAACAGGCCACGATTACCATTAGAAATATCAGAAATATCAATCACAATGTAATTTCTGCATCCAATAGGAAATTCTCGATAGATGTCTTCACTGCTGTACTACTTAAAAATCACATTTTCGTGATTCATTCATTACTATATAATTTCTTCGATCATCTAAAATGCAGACATACCGCTCTTCAAATGTTAAAAACGCATTGTAAAAAATACGTTGATTTTGAATAGCTTTTGATGAAGAAAAGTCATGACCACATTATCATTCGAACTGTTACGAGAAACTAAATAAGCTGTAATATAGTTTTATTATAACCTATTAATATACTTTACTTCAATTTACAACATACCGACATCGTACATTGCAATAGTTTTCATACATCTCATCATCTTAACGGTTTAACACTCGTTGTATAAATGAGCGATGAGTGAGTGTGAGCGATATATATATATGTAAGAAAAAAGAATGGACGTCCGCCTTATAATTCTGGAAAGAATCTTTATATGGTTCTGTCTATCGTTAGAAAGATTCTTGACTGAAGTTCAATGTCAAAAAGAATCTTGACAGTTTTTTCTGAAAAACAAGAATCTGGTAAGAACAGAGCCAAGAATGTCGACTTGTGAGCAAACTTCTTTTTTTTTTTTGGATACAAAGCCTTTTATTATTTAAAAGGTCTTACAAGCTAGCCACAACCGAAATTCGAGAAAGTAAGATAGAAAAAAACCACAATCATAAAAAATAACAATAAAAAGCTGGTATTGACGGAGAGACTCCTGACCAATGTCTTTTGTCTTGTACTGTTTCATTTAGGATATATTAGTGGATGAAGAAAGGGTGGTGTTGGATGTTTTTTATAGATGGTTAAGTATATCTGTAAGATGCGTCATTAGGATGTTGTCATTGTTGGAGGTTGCTGTTGCAATAGCTTGTTAGAGTAATTTTGTTGCATATTCTTTGATTTTGAGAATATTGCTGAGTGTATGGATGTATTCTACAGACGTATAGATTGGCAGTTCTAGAGCAGCACGAATTGCTTTATTTTGAATAATCTGAAGACGTTGCCATACATTTTCATTAGCTGTGAGTAGAACCGGAAATCCATATATTAGAATTGTTCTTGTTATTGCCTTGTAGATATTTAACATGGTCTTGCCATTTGGATTTGGATTTGGAGCTGATATTGATCGATAGCGTAAAGCACTAATTCGATCAGCAATTTTTGATTCAATGTGATGTAGATGACATCTCCAGTTTAGTCTTTTGTTGATTATAACACCTAAATATCTTGTTGAATCGAGTAGTCGAACAGTTGTATCTTCTTCTTTAATTGATACTGGATTTTTATATTTCTTCCTTGGATGTGGACTATAGTGTATCAATTCCGTTTTTGTTGGTTGTAATTTCAGCTTCCATGCCATACACCATTTTTGGAATTCATCTATTGATTGCTGTAGCCTTGATATAAGACTAGTTGTAGTATTTTACGATGTCCAAAGAGAAGTGTCATCTGCAAAAAGACCATGTTCTGTATGATTTGGTATTCCATTCATTGAATCAGATGTGTAGATAATATATAATAAAGGTGAAAGTGGAGAACCTTGTGGTGTTCCACTGTTTAAGTTGAAAGGATGAGACAGGACGTTTTCAAGTTCAATTACTGCCGTTCTATTGTGCAAGAATGAAATTAGATAGTTGTTTAAATATTGTGGCAGACGAAGATTGTTTAATTTGTATATTAAACCACCATGCCAAACTGAATCAAATGCAGATTTGATGTCGAATAAGATAACAGCAGCATGTCGCCTTCGACGTAGCTGATCTTGGGCATATCGTTCTAATATGACAATATTGTATATGGTGCTCTTCTTTGGACGAAAGCCGGCTTGATGTACAGGAAGAATATTTCGTCGATCAAGTTCAGACATTAATCTTTGTTTCATTATTTTCTCCAGCAATTTACCCATGCAGCTAAGTAAACTAACAGGACGATAACTGGAGGGCTGTTGCTTGTCTTTTTTCGGCTTTAGCAGTAGAATAATATGAGTCTTTTTCCATATGTTTGGAATATAACCCAAATGAATAATCAAATTGAAGAGATTGGTCATATGGTGAAGTAGTAATTCCGAGTGGTTCTTTAAGCACCTATTATGGATATTATCAGGACCGGTGGAACTATTTCTGAGTTGTTTAATGTTCCATTTTACTTCTTTTGTTGTAATTTCCTTCCATTTGTTTTTGTTGAGAATGTTGATTTTGTTCTTGATATTGAGTACTTGTCTTGTTACTTGTTCATGAAAAGACAGTGTATCAGGTGGTTTAAGGTAAACTTCATTTTGAAAGTAGTCTGCAAATAAATCAGCTTTTTCATTGTTAGATATAGCTGAGACATTATTGTATTTCAAGATGTTCGGATATGTTTGTTTGATTCTTTTATTGTGTAATTTGTGGACTGTAAACTATACTGATGCTGAAGACATTTTTTTATCACATAATGACGACATTAATTTGTTGAAATTGTTTTTCCTGTCATTTCTGATTGAATTTGTTAATAGCATCTTGGCATTATAATATTGTTTCTTCTCAATATTTTCTCCATTCTTCTTCCATCTTTTATATGCTATATGTTTCATTTTAACTAGATGTTTTGTTGTTTTACTTATTGCATAGCTTGTATTAATTTGTTTAGAAGGTGGAATACTCTCTTGTGTAGCTGCAGTAATACTGTCCGTGATGAATGATGAGTATTCTTCAATATCTGATGTTGAATTTAAGAACCGATCATTGTTCCATATCATAAGATTTTCATCTGATTTGTTTCTGAACTTTGACCAATTTGCTGCTTGAAAATTTAATGATAATCTTGGTGACATTGGCTTCGGTTCAGCTCCAATTGAGATGTCGAAGGTTATTGATTTGTGTCCACTAAACATAGTAAATGGTGAGTGAGTTTCAAAATTTGAAATGAATGACATAAGTGGTTGACTAGCAAGAATCCAATCAATCTTTTCTTCATAATCATTTCTTTCAAAGGTTGTACTATCATCATCAATACAATTCATATAACCTTCATTTAATAATTCTTGTAATTGTCTTCCTCTTGCATTTGTTTTTCTTGATCCCATTTGGTTTAATGCTGCATTGAGATCATCTAATATCATACAATTGTTGTTCATATTGTATAATTCACGGAAGACATTTATATGAATCTTAGATGCTGGTGGAACATATATGGAGGAGATTAATATTGTTTTATATGTTTTTGTTTCGACTTCAACTGCAATAATCTCATTTTTTTCTATCGTTTTGTTGAATACTTCTTGACATTTAATATGTTCTTTAATTGCTAACAATACACCACCGCCAAGTTTTTCTATTCTATCATTTCTAAAAATGTTATAACCTTTAAGAGCAAAAGAACTATCTTTTTCAAGATTAGTTTCATTAACAGAGATGATGTCATATTGAGAAAATCGGGAAAGAAGTTCATCTTTGTGTTTTATGATTGTGGTAATGTTAGTGTGACATACTTTAATCATCGTTGTTGTTTGTTTTTAAATCTTTGTTGTCGATTGTTGTAGATTCCATTGAACTATCTAGTTTTGACTGTTTTTGCTGTTGCTTTAGGTTTCTGTGGTGCTTTTGTTGTTGTTTCATTGGAAGCATTAGATGCTTTTGATGACGTTATAATAGATGTAGTTGTTGGTTTTGTTGTTTTTTCGATATGTTGCTTTTGTTGTTGTTCCTTCTTTTTATCTTTATGTACTTGAATTTCTTCATCAGAATTAGAATCATCGATATCTTCATTAATTATATTTTCAAATGTTGACATGAATTTTTCTATTTTCTTGATCTTCTGATGAAGTGTTTTAAATAGTTTGTTTGTTGTTTCTTCGATGACTTTTTCCATTTTTGAAGTGAGAAGATTAATGATTTCATCAATCATTCCATTATGTATATAATCTTGTTGTCCTTGTTGTCTGCTTGCTAATAATGGAAATTCATTAAGACATTGTAGAGCAGGTACATTTGTTGTTGTTGGTTTGGTTGTAGACGAATATTGATTTACTAATTTTTTCACTTTTGTTTTTTGTTCTTTAAATCTTGGACAATCATTTGACGTGGCTAAATGATCACCTTGACAATTACAACATTTAGTTGTTTGTTGTGAATCAGTACATTGTTCAATGCGGTGATTTCCACCACATCGAGCACAAATTTGTTGTTTTGTTTTACAGTATTTTGCTCAAGGGGGAAACGGCGGACTTTTGTACTTGAAGTAACTTTGGCTACTTTAAAGTACTTTAAGCTACTTTACGCTACTTTACGCTACTTTACGCTACTNATTTTTCTCTGCTGAAATTTGTGTTAAAGTTTGTAAATAACGTAATTGTAAAGCAATAGGTGATTCAGCAATAACATCGGCTGCTTCTTTTAATTGTCTTGATGCTTTTTGTTCACCTTCAGCAGCTATAACTTTAGCACGAGCTTCACGACTTGCTTCAGCTTCTGCAGCCATTGATCGTTGCATTGATTGAGGTAAACGAACATCTGTACTAGAAAGAGAAAAACAACGATAGAGGAAATATTCAATTAAAATATTTTTTTAAGTAAACATACATTTCAACACGTTCAACTTTAATACCCCATGATGAACTTCCTTGATCTAGTTGAATTTCCATTTGATCAGCTATAGTTTCACGCTCACTTAGAATTTCTTGAAGTGTTTTTGTACCAAGAATATTTCGTAATGCTGTTTGAGCTAATAATTGAGTTGCAGAAGCAACATTATTTACTTTAGTTACCGAAGTGACCTAATTAGAAAAAAAATAATATCTTCTCTCTAAATCTATCTAAAAAAAATCACTACCGGATCAACAATACGACTATAGATAACAGCATCGACCGAAACTGTCACTGAATCACGTGTTAAAATCTAATCAAAAATAATTAAAAATGAAATACGATACTGAACAAAATTTTTTTGAATAATTTTATTTTTAATATAAATCTCGTATAAAACTAATTTTCGATAGGTGACTTGCGCCAATGGTACAGTCAATATTTATGAGACAAAATTTCAAACTGACTTATTGTTCTTCAGAGTTGTTCTTTAAAAAAAATCTTGAAACCATATAAATGAAAAGAAGAGAACACAAGCTAATTTTAGTAACTAAAGGTTCTCAAAAGTGAATTGTTTATAATGTAATGTATCTATTTTACGACAAAGAATTCTCATTTAAATTCTCTATTATTTTTCTTTCCAAATATCATATTCGAAATATCATCAGACATTGCAAATTTTTCAGAAAATAATCTCTCACAAATCGGAAACATTTTTCATGAAACTTCAAAATTATCTATCAGCTCATACAAGATTTCAAATGTGATATGGGAAAAGAAAAACGATAAAAGATTTAAATGAACATTGTTTGTTGTTTATCGTACAAAAAGGTGTATCACATTATAGACAATTTGCTTTTAAGAAATTTAGTTATCAAAATGTAGTTCGTGTTTTCCTCTTTTCATTTACACTCCAATTCCAGTATGACTCAATATTTGATAACGAAAGATACAGTGTAGATACTGGCTATAGCACTGACGCAAAATGTCCATTAAAATTTAGCTTTATACGAAAGTTATATTAAAAATAAAATTGTTCAAAAAATGCTGTTCAGTATTATATATACATATACTATAGATAAAGGAACTTACTTCTTGTGGTGGAACATTGAATGTTGTTGTTCGTAAATCAACTTTGGTGATTGTATCCACACAAGGTAAAATAAAAAATAGACCAGGACCTTTAGCACCACCTAAAATAACAATTAATGATTATAATCAATAAAAAAAAAACAATTTACGATAAAAGCAAACCTGGTAAAATACGTCCAAGACGAAAAATAACAGCACGTTGATATTCTTGAACAACCTAAAAAAAAAAAAAAAAGTATTATTTTAACATTATCTAAATAAACAATTCTCACGAACATTAATGCTACAGAATAATGTAACTGGAAATGTAAGAATAACAAGAAAATACGAAAAAATAATTAATATCCATCCACATGCATCAAAACCACTTTCATTTGATTCTTGAGAATCATCCTTAACTAAATATAAATATATTAATCTAATCAATATTAAATCGTTTTATTTCTATAACATACTGTGAATATTTGTTGCTTCATTAGATGCCATTGTCATGTTTGTTGGATGAATACGATCTTAAAATAATATAGATTAATCCTGTTTCTTTTTAAAAAAAAATGCTATTGTTATCATACTAACTTCCGTTATTTAATGCTTGAACTTCGTGTTTGAATGACGTTGTTGTTGCCATGTTATTATTTGAACTATGTTGTCTAAAAAAGAAATGCTTTTTTTTTCTTTTATATATAGAATTTTAATATTTGGTTTCTATGAAGATTGTCTTTTTCTCGATTGAAGCAAATACGTATACAGTAGTAATGACGTCGATACATCTATCAAAATTTGTTCAGCATAGTAATCGAATACAAACAAAAAAAAAGAACGAATAAATTATTAAAGGATTCTTTCTTTTTATTTTATTGCTGACATATTCAGACATAAACTGGAACTTGTCATTCTAACAAACCCAGAACTATACAATTATTTAATTTGTTTTGCTTTCTTTTGGTGTGCTTAGTTTCATAGAGAAATGTGTTATTTAATGGTGAAAAAAAACTAATAGAATTTTGATTCAACTAGTCGAGTAATAAAATAGGAAAAGAAAAGAAGTTGCGATAATTTTGTCCTCAATTCATTTCGGAAACACTTTATTTTTAATATTTATATAATAGGTAGCCTCGGTTTTTCTTATAGTCAAAAGTCAATAAAAAGATTCATTAAAATCTTTCTTTATATTATAGTTTTAATGTCTATGTAAAATAAAAATAGAAGACTGACGTCATCAAATCTATAGATGTTTGTTTTTAAAGCAAATAGAAAGGTTTTTTTTATTTTAGTTACATTATAGCACATTTCTTTCGCTAGAAGACAATAATGAAAAAAGAAAAATTTTAATTTGATTTATTTCTCTCTATATATATAAATGCAGTCTTGACAGGAAAATTTTATTGGTAAGAATTACCAATCTTGATTTATATAAATATTATTACTCTAAATTTTGCATTGGAAGTAAAGTGAAGTTTACAAATAAAAAAAAAACAAAGTATATATGCGCTATATTTAACGTTCAAATCGGTGACAATAGGTTTACAATAGTAAATAGCACAAATTTCAACTTTTCAACAAAAAAAGATGTAACTAGATCTATAGTTCTATCTAACGTAATTGATACTTACGATCAAATGAGATAAAAAAAACAATGTAATATATCAAAAATTAGAAATTTTAGCTTTATTAAGGAAATTTGAACTAATCTTGGCATGTGTTGATGTCATTGGGTTGAAATTGTTTATGCAAAACTTATCTTAATCAGATTGATTGCATCTTCTTTGGATAATTATGATACTTGATCATTTTAAAAGTGATTCATAGCAACCATGGAATTGCATTGTTTGGTAATCGAGACTACTGATTATTTGTAAATAATTTTTTCAGAAAGTTTATTAATTATTAATACTCTTTTGATTTTTAGACAATAAAAAAAATTTGAAACTAAATTAAACTTCAAAAAATTCAATTTCTGTGTTGTGTATAGCATTTTAACTGATTCTTGTCGTCAGCAACATGAATAAAACAATTGTAATAAGCTTCCAATAACGATATATGAATGAATCATTTACCATCGATGCCTTTCTTTTTTTTTTGTTCAATATTGAAATAATGTATTGGTTATGTTTTAATGAAGAAAGTATTTATTATATTTCGATTTAATTTTAATACGAACAAGATTCTTATATAAAATTTAACTTCTTAAAAGATCTAAATCCTTAAAATACTGCTTAAAAACTGTGTTTTTTAAAATGATAAGTTTTGAAGAAAGCTATTCTTCAGATTTTATCTTGTTTAGGTAAAACTAATAATGAATACTGTCAACTTTATATCTATATCAGAATTCACATCCCTCTCAAGTATCTTATGAAAACGGAAACAATATTCTGGACTTTGTCTTTCTCTTAGTTTTATTTTAATCTGAAGTCCTGTTATATGACACAAACCGTAACATTACAATAAGCTACGAGTAGATAGTATTGATACTTGTTCTCAAACGTTAAAAAGAAATGACATAAACATTGGAATTCTGAAGATCTTTTGGCTAGAAATGTAAGCTGATCGTTTAAGTCACTCTCAATGAAACAAAATAAACTTTAGATTTTTAAAAATTGTCGATACAGAGAATCATCAGTCGGCAATGTTTTCTTGTGTACTTTTCTATCAGTTTGTTATTCAACGGAAAAATTGTTTGAACATGAAATCTTTAAATCTATCAAAACTTTCAGTTGATAGAAAATGAAAAGAAATTAATAAAATAAATTTTAGTCATTATCAACGATCTATTCAACTCCGATTCCGGAAACATCAATAAAAGTTTCTTTTACAGAATCGGAAATCAAGAAAAACCGTTGCCACGTGACACTTTTTTCCTGTCGTACCTTTTTTTTCTTTCGACGTAATTGATCAAGAAGTTTTTAACAAAGTAATATATCACATTATTTTATGTACTCTTCAATTTGAAGTAGATTCAAGTGAAATAGCGCACTATTTCCTAAGGGAAAAAAACAAAAGAACTTCAATTCACTCTTTTTAAATATAACAAGCGAATCAGTATTTTATCCAGAATGACTTTTTCGGAAAGACAAACACTTATTTATCGGAGCACAGGCATATAGTACGTAGTACAATAACCAGGAACTTCGAAAAGACTAATCCGATCTTTGAAGAAGTGCTGCGATTATGTTGCGAAACAATGTCATTATGACAACTGATTAGTTAACGTATTTTGTTTATTGATTTTAAAGAAAGTCTGTTTAGTGAATACAGAGATGAGTAATATCTCAGGAGGATCATTCCGACTATAGAAAACGGTAAGTTACTGCATTAATTTTTACGGTAATCCATCATATCGTTTTACACCGTTTTCTTGCAGCCGAGATGGAAAGCCTACAAAACTGTGAACAACTCAACGTATTCGAGTTAAAGTTTTTTTGAATAATATGAACTCTGCAATAATCATCAAATTTTTAATAATTATTTTTTTCTTCACCTACTATTTTTTCTTAAAAAATCCATCATCAAAATATAGTAAGTTCTAAAAGTTTCATCGAAAAAAAAATCAATAGCTGTTCAACAGCGCAAAAAAATTTCATATATTGTTGTTATAGTCTCCCTCGGACAAAAAAAACGGCCTTTTTCCATTTCATTTTTGCATCACTTAATACGTTGTTTTAAAAAAACAAAATATACCAGGAGATGCAGCGTGAAAAGAACTACAACTTACAAAGTAAAGCTTATTTGAATTATGTACTTTTTGTTTTCAAAAAAGCAAAATTGTGTGCGACCAATTTTCGAAGCTGCGAAAAAATCATTTTTTCTGATCTCATCTTTTTATCACCTAATCTGCTTTTGTAAAAAAAAAATAAAATGTACCACAAGATGCAGCGTGAAAAGCTCTATAATCTACAAAGTAAAGCTTATTTCAATNTGTACAAGCATGTGATTGCTTTCCTGAATATAACCGTCTTCCTTTCAATCATGTAGGCCGTTACTATTATTTTTTGTGGGATTATTTAGTTTAAAAAGATAACGTCATTTTGCAACATATGATTATTTTCACGGTAATATAATTTAATTGTGAATAGAAACAATGATTTTTTTATTTCTGCTAGGGCTATTTAAAATTCCCCTATAGGAGAAATTAAAATTTTAATTTGCTGCAGGGGAAACTAAAATCTTAAACCTTTCTTATGAGATGGAGAGAAAAAATCCAAGATTTTAATTTCCCCTGTAACATATATTAATAGTATTTGATTGCAATTTTTTTGAAAAATGTTCGAAATCAATTGTTATTCATTTCCATAATGATTTTTCAGAATAACTCAGATTAAATAAAGAACTGGAACATTGAACATATCCCAAGAGGGAAGGGCGGACTTTTGTACTTGAAGTAACTTTGACTACTTTAAAGTACTTTAAGCTACTTTGATGTACTTCTCGACTTGAAGTACGCCGTTTCCCCCTTGATTTTGCTACATGATTATATTTAAGACATGTATAACATTGTACCGGTTTAATATTTTGCATTGCTGGTTCTGCGGTAAAATGCATGGAATCTACTTGTAAACCTATATGTACGAAAGTATTTCTATTTTGTACATCTTTAAAAATTATTTTAATTGTTCTGGTAGGATGATTTCCATCTTTACTTGTTAATCGAACAACATTTTCTATATCGAGACCAACTTCTTTTAATGCATCATTGATTCGTTTTTCCGGAATTTCTAAGTCAACTCTTTTAACAAAAGCAACCTTTTCCGTATCTTTAATTCGTTGGATTGAGCGAGGAACATATAATGAAGCAGAAGGTTCACCATTTGCAATAAGAATATTACTAAATTCATTTAATAAACGATTGAATGAACTTATATCTGTGGCATATAATGTAAATATTCCTGATCGAGTAAGTTGTTGATGACTGACTTGGATTAATTTGGTTATCATCATTTCGACTACGTTTGCCTGGACCACCACCTCCTTTTCTCGGAGGCATTTTAAAACTGGAACCAAGAATATAATAAACCTAAAAAATTTTTCCTAACTCCTCTTGTGTAGAGAGATAAGAAAGATAAACAAAAAATATGTAAAAAAAGAGACGTGCGTGATTTACCAGAGTGGGAAAAATCGACTTCTCTGTACCGTGTCTATTTGGTGAATTGAGCAAACATTGATCTGTTTAAATGTAATAAAAGCTCTGTTTATTTCAAAGGGATATAGAGAAATCGTGCAAATCGAAATTACAATTATCCCCGAAAGAATCGCAAGGTGAAAAACATGAATCAGATCGTGGTATTTATACAATAACAATGCAAAAAACAGCAAATAAGAATACAGCTCCAATTAAACTAAAACGACCAACAGTCACTACGACAACAGTAAGTAAAAATAAGATTTTACTTTTGTCTTTTATACTGTTTATCGATCGTATTTAGAATAATGATCAAGAAACAAATAAACGTGTGAAATTAGATGAAACACATGTGTAATGGTCGTTGTGTTGATTTAATAATTTTGTTGTCAAAGTTGTTTTGTATTCTGAATTTGTCTTTTTTTTTATTAAACATATTTATATATTAGATGATATAAAATGTTTCGCAAAAAATATCTGTATTTATTTCTGAGCAATGATTAACTTGGATTATTTTCTTTTGTCTGAAAGAACAAACTCTGAAATATATATATATATGAACTTATTTTAATATTCGAATATTACCTTTTCAAACACTAAAAAACTTCCGCTAGATTCAATGTTTGAATATTAAGAAATGGGTCTTTCGTATCATTTGTTATGTGAATTTAGTTTATAATAAATATCGAATAAAACATGTTTAGTTTTTCTCAATTAATAAATTTGAGAAAGATGAATGAAAATTGTGTTAAAGAATTCAAATAGCATGTCTATATTGATTGGTATTAAAACACATTGTATTATTAATAGAAGAACATTTTTTTTCTCTATTAAAAAAAAATATCAAATATTCTTTCAGACAAAACTTTATACAGATATTTTTTGGTATTATTTTGATAGTTGAATTGTTGTTTACCATTTATGAGAGTGATTTAAAATCTATATTATGATTGTTAGGAACACGGGATCGAAAGCCAGACATTTTCAATGATGTTTATAAATTCACGAAAATATATCAGATCATTGTAATATGATCATTTGACATTCAACATTGCCATGTTGTTATTTATGATGAAAAGAAAGAGTCAGATTATATATCACAGTGTCTGACCGATTGAGACTGTATCTTGATACAATCATTAATTATAGTTTTTACTCGTGCTTCATGGTATATAATTATTTAATAACAGTAACTCGTCAATACGTGACTAAAAACATATAATCTAAACGAGGTAAGAACATTAGTTTGTTTAAAATTATATGCTCTATTAGGATTGCTCTTATCGAAATTAAACATACAGATATTCGGATCTTTTTTAGTTAAATACATCTATCAGTTTCATCTTTTTCTGTCATTTTTTTTTTGATAATGATACTGATATGTATGCATAGTTTATTCAGATGTAAATAGAACAAAAAGGTGAACGAAAAGAATGTAAAGATGCTTCATCAATGATAACATGTTGTTTTTATTGACATCCAAGATATTTAGAAATTCGCTTAGTTTTTCGAAGTATCCTTCTTCTAATTTGACTTTATTGTTGTCAACACGTCAATTTAATTAATAAATAAGGTTTATTTATAGTATAGTAATTCATTTTTTTCTATTCGAATACAATTTGTAAAAATAAATAATATTTCTTTGTAAGCAAGAAAGCGTATTCATTCTTGGATTCCATATAAAAACAGTTTGCTTTATAGGTTGATATGTGCTTGAGACTACTTGAACGACATTTATGTATTATGACATATCAATTACGTATTATTGCTTGTTCTTACGATTATATGGCACTATCGGTATAATATTTGTTCAAAGAATTGTCGTTGAAATGAATTAAGTACAATTTCTTTTCATTCATATTGAATATTGATCCATATTTCATGTAATAAAAAATTACGTGATAAATTAAAATCTCTCATTTTTTTTATTTATTGTTCATATGGTATTAAAATCGAATTGGCTCATTTATTTGAAAGCCACCAAATAAAAAAAAATTAGCATCATTCACTAATTTGCATTTTATTAATATTTAATGATTATGATAAAGAAAAGGCTATGAACGATTGAAAAGAAATGAGATTATTTTTTTTTTGTGAACAAAGAAAACCGTATTAATCTATTCTTTTCTTTTAAATTATAATGATAAATCAACATAATGATCTATAGTCTATTTAGTTTGTTATCTGATCATTAACTTTGAAAACGAAAATTGCTTAAGTTGAACAAATATTCTCATGGTCAAAGATATAATTAAAGTTCATTTGTCAAATGAAATAAGAGAGATGCTTTTCATCAAAGTAAATGTTCACATTTCTAACATAGCATTCATGTTATAAATTTTTTCTATCTAAGTTGAAAGGGGACTGACATACAATCATCTAATGATTATACATCCTTGTTCTATGTCCTCAACAATAAGTCATTAAAATTTAGTTTTTATATGCAAGGCTATTATGCACATGTTGTATACCTTTCAAATATTTCTTTTTTTGTTTCTTATGTTCAATTCGTTAATCATCATATTGAAAAGAAAGGATTCATTTCAATGAGGAAGCAATTCAAAAGAGAAAAGTAAAAGATTAATGGTATACAAACAATAAGAAGTAGAAACGAAAAGAAGATTCTTAAATGTAAAGACTTTTGTAAAAAGAGACAAAAAAAATATTTATTATTTTAAAATAAGAAAAAACTAATAATCTGATACATTGATAAATTTAGTTTTACAACGATATTTTGTTAAGTAAAGAACAAATGAAAATTTTTTAAAATGAACATAAGAATAGAAAAAGAAATGAGAAAGGAAGACAGTAAAATGATATGTTACGTCAACTAAATAGCGAAAGGGACCAAAATGTATAAATGTTCGATTTTTATGATTGTCCTGTGGTTGCGTTATCGTTGTAGACAGTGACAACGTCGGTGTCAGAGTGGGCGACTATGCAATACAAGAGATAGACGAAGGAAAAAAAGATCCGTTACGAACACATAGACAAATGTCGAACGAGAAAGAAGAAAAAAAAAAAAAAAAGAAAGAAAGAGAACAAATAAGAACACATACCGACAGTTGAACTATTTTCAAGTGTCATTAGTAAGCTAGCCTCACCACAGTTATACATAACGATTCGGTTGATAATGTGACAGTATATATATTTATATATATATATACATATATTTGACTAAACATGCATAAATAATATTCAGTGGTTATTTGAAATATGAGAACATTTAAAATCATTGAAACACTCGAAAGAAATTATCGATTGATATTGAATATAAAATTTATTATATTTTTCATTTTCAGATAAATATTGTTTTTAATTTATTCGATAAATGGCTTGTATTAATAGTTCATTATCTTCATTTGTGAGTGATTTTCCATCATATGGTCTCATTGGTTCTGTATCTATTGGTTTTATTCTATATATTGCATATATGATTACTTTTATACGAAATCATTATTTATCATCATCGAATGTTTATATATATTTTTCACAATTATCACTTTTTTTATTATTAATTTCTCCAATAACATTTCTTTTTCAATCATTAACATTAACTAATATTATATGTTCAACTCAAACATTAGCATTACAAATTTTACCATTTTGTCTTTTACTTGGTTTTAATGTACATTTTGCTTATGAATGGTTATTAAAAATAGCAGGTCCAATTCGAAAATCTTTTCTTATATCAATAAGTTCATTTTTAATTTTTTTTCTTGCTATATTAATTCAAACAGCTATTCTTCTTGTTTGGTTTTATTATAATTATAGTTATCAAGAAAATATTGAACAATGTACAGATGAATGTCGTCGACCATTATTTCTTTGTTCATTATCATTTAATTTTTTTCTTTTATTTCTTTATTCATTTCAATCAAGTATACGATATCATTTTAATAATAAACAAAATGATTTGATTTATTTATTAACAAGTGTTTTAGCCTTATGTGTTACAATTATATGGATTTGTTTCTATTTATTTATTCCATTAAAATCATCATATACATTTTATATGAATAATAGTTATATACTTGCTTATGGGACATTATTTTTTGTTTATGCATTTATTGGACCATTTCTATATGAACAACTTTTTTATCATAATAAAACAAATATCAAAAATAAAGATCATTTAAATAACGTAAGCATTTATTTAGATCACAATTAAAAAAAACAACAACAAAGCGGCTTTTTTTCTTCTTTTGATAGATTAATAAAATGACATTTAAATGTTTGTCTCTAACAAAAGAGCAACAACGGGCATTCATGGCAGCATATATTAAACGTAATTTAACAGCTTCATGTGAAAATCTCACAACAAAAAATAATTCATCATTTCAACAATCAAATCAAACACGTCATTCAACATTAAGTGTCGAGAGTTTATGTCCAACATTAATAAGTACTGTTTCATATGAATCACCACGAACAATATTACCAATGATAATAAATGATACATCAAGTTGTGGTACAATGACAAGTGAATATTTACTTTTATCAAATTCACCTGACATGAAATAATTAAATCGAGATGAAGACGATCATCATGACCGGTGGATTCATTTTGGAATAATATCTATTCCAATAATGGGATTAAGAACAAAAAAACAAAAAATTGTTTGATTTGATCTCTATAGACTAATATATTTTCAAAAAAAACAATTGTAAATATAGAAAAATAAAATAATTATGAAAGAATGTATTTTATTGATTATAGTTTAGTATTCGAATAGAGAAAAATTTATGATGATTTAATAGGTTTCAATCAATTGCCAAGGAATTCTATTTAATATGTTGTTTAACAAGCGGTTTAGTG